AAAAAAAAAAAAAAAAAAAAAAAAAAAAAAAAAGATCCACCCTAAATTAGGAAACAGACCCTGTCCATTCATCTAGCCCTACTAATTCTTGTAGGGCATTGCACATAGTAGACACTGAGGACCTGGTGCTCGATGCATACATACTGAGCTGACATATGGAGATGGGGAAGACAATCCATGCCCTTAAAAAAAGCCCACTGTCTACAAAGGGTGTAAATTTGTAGGGGGCAAGGGTGCAGAGGAGCAAGTGCCTTCAAAACTGTGTTCAAAAGTCCTCTCTACTTGGTCTAAGACAAATTTCCCAGAGTCCAAGGGCAGCCAATCTAACCAATGGTAGGGATAGTCTAAGCTCATCTGTCGGTTCATGACTCTGTGTGCCTTGGCCCAGCTTTTCCTTCCACGCAGAATCTCTTTACACCCCAGTAAACCACTCCTTTTCAAGATGATACTAAAATTTCTGGGGCACCTGGGTGGCTCGAGCAGTTGAACATCCAACTTCAGCTCAGGTCATGATCTCACAGTCTGTGAGTTCGAGCCCGGCATTGGGCTCTGTGCTGACAGCTCAGGGCCTGGAGCCTGCTTTGGATTCTTTGTCTCCCTCTCTCTCTCCCTCCTCCCCCACTCATGCTGTCTGTCTCTGTCTCAAATACAAACAAACATTAAAAAAACATTAAAAAAAAAAAAAGATACTAAAATTTCACTGATGCTCCTTTGAAATGTTCTGGTCAATAATTTGCAGCAGAGTGGACCACTCCCACACTAGTTCTCAGAGACCAATGATTTTCTCCTTACTTTGCTGAAGTCTATGGGAAGAGGATCCACTGCTTTCAACAGGGTCTCGGAGGGAATTGCGAATTCCTTCAGGGCGGATACAATTGCAATACAGCGCCAGCAATACTGAGTCTGCAGTAACTGTGCAAGGCAATTTCTCACTATGAAGGACCCCTATAAATCCAATTAAAAACACTGATAGCTATTTCCCAAGCTTCCTCACTTTGTACATAATTTATGCCTTTCAAAAGGACCTAGTAAATTTAGTCAAAGCATCTGTACTGATATAGCCTATTTCCTCATAGCTATTCACACTAATCTACTGTAATTTGGAAGTGGCCTCAACAGTATAGTTCATTGGCCCGTTTATAGTTCAAGGGCACTGATGGTGTAAAATTGTAAGGATATCAATTTATAGGTCTTCCTAAGGGTGTGTGACTTTGAATTTGTACTGTGACAGCATTGGATTTTTGTCGGGCACTTGCACAATTATGAGGATGTGTGTCTGTGCAGGCACAGCCTCACTTCTTCTGTTTGAAAGTATCCCTGATGCGAACATAAGTCTATAGACTATATGATAGGGTGAATATGAGTATGTTCAACTAAAAAATAGAAAGCCTGTGAATTACTGTTGCTTGTCAAGTGTTACACTAGATGATATGGAATATAAATGAGAAAAATCTTCAAACAAAAACTCAGGGCACCTGGATTGCTCAGTTGGTTAAGTATCTGACTCATGATTTCAACTCAGGTCATGATCTTAGGGTGGATTGAACCCTGTGTCAGGGTTCATGCTGGGTGTGGAGCTTACTTAAGATTTCCTCTCCCTCTCTCTACCCCTCAATTCCCCCGCGCTCGCTCTCTCTCTCTCTCAAAACAAAAAACAAAAAAAGCCTTTAGTCTTCAGGCTAAAGATATTTTAAAAGTCTTTTTCATTCAAACTACCTGGATGTTAGAACTAGAAACAAATGTGGTCCCTTCTCCTAATCAGCCCTCATTTTATAAATTGGGCAACATGCAGCTAAACAAAAATGTATTGCTCAAGGTCTCCATTTGTGGGTAGCTCAGGTGGGGTCTAAAACCCAGATCCCTAAGTCCCATCATTCTCTTTGACCTGTGGCTGTACTCACATAAGGTGGCATGATTGAGGGCACACCTATACCAAACCAAATGCTATGGAGAAGACCAGAGACAGCAGGCTCCCTACCTCCCAGGGTGCTTAAACACACACAAAAACACCCATCAAAGCCAAGGAAGAATTTTAAGAGTGTCTCTACACTGAAAACTTTGGTGTCATTCTCATGACTTCTCCTTCACCACTATTGCACCTAATTACCACCCATTCCTAATTTACAAAGAGTTGTTCAATCTCTTCCTCTGCATGATTCAGAGAAAGTCTTGAGCATTTTGTTGAATCATTATCCTGTTTGTAACTAGTGAGTTACTCGAAGTTACGCTCGAGGAATCCTAATGCTCCCGGGTAAGTCAGTCCATCCACACCCCTCAGACTAGCAGACAAGGGAAATCTGTCACAACCTCGCTCTGCCCGATTCTCCAGCTTCACAGCATTCTCCATGCTACTGCCTCAGATGAACTGCTTTTATGAGTCAACACAGCTTACCCCTGACACGTTCCCACACACCTTAGACCCTGGGCAAACATGCCCCCTCTGGGGAATCACCCTCCGACTTGCTCACAGCACACAGGTGGCTGCTCATAGCGTATGACTCTTTCCAGGGTGATGGACATTCCTGCCCTGGAAGCATCCGCAATGCCCACCCATTCAGTGGGACACACAAGGCCACACACACAGGGTAAGCTGCCATCGGCCACACCTCTGGGTGGCTCTATAACTCCGCTATCCCACGGCTGAGACATGGAAAAAGAACCCACTCCTTGCTGTCTTACTGCTTGAAAGTGTGAAGTTTTAATATGCAGGCTGAGTTAAACAGGTGTAACTGAGGATGACACTGGGGACAAACCCTATTTAGGACAAGATAATGACATACAGACTATAAAAATGGCTAATTAAGGATACTACTAAGAAGGGAAGTCTCCATGTGAAAGCAGTCTGAGAGCTTATCTACTGACCCCTCGAATTCTGGGCTGAAGCAAATGCTGGGGGCCACAGCAAGCTGCTTGCCCCGTCTCAAAACCAGAGAGCCTCTCAGAGCAGGTCACACTGTGAGGGCCAGGGGAGGGCTCTGCTCTGCAAAGGGACAAAGCACTGGCCACTTTAGGACCCCATAACAATGAAGTGGTCATCCATGGATATGCTTAGATCAGTAACAGCTGAAACGAAATGCCTGGCTGGGTCAAAGGCAATTCTAACTTAAATGAGGCAACAGAAACCCAAATATCTGTCCTAAATATGAGCTGTGGGGGCGTTTACACAGATGAAAACATATAAAGATTATATAAAGCTTCAATTATCTATAGGTAATATTCTCAACACCTTTAAGCTCTGAAGTAATCCTAAACTCTATGTGGAAAATACCTGAGGTAAAACAGAATCTTTGAGCAGGAAGCAGATAAAGCAGTGTCCCAAATGTTTGGCAGACTGCACATAAATGTTGAAAAGCATGGACAAAGCAAAACAAGGCTAAGATAACAGCCAGAGACTCCGCAACAGAGGATAGCCAGCTCCCCATTTTGCAAACAAGAGCTCTGAGGAGCTAAGAGTGCCCATACACGTGTGTTCCTCAGTAACTCCTGAGGGAGAGTTTTGAGACTAACCAAAAGCCCCGGCCTGTGGACTCTGCCTCACTCAGGGCCAAACCCCAGATTACCCGTACCTGCACCCACAGCTTAGACCACCAAGGTGCCATCAATCACTGTCACTTGTGAGGAACCTCAAGCTGCTACTTGATTTGCCCTCTGCAACATCCCACCCTGGATGACCCCTCCTCCCCAGCCTTCCCATCCCACACTGACCTCCCATACCTAACTCTGGCTCAAAAACGAATAGCTATAGGAATCTCACTAGCTCCCCACAGTGGCCATCTCACAGCCCCCTTAAACTCCCATTAGTCCAAAACTGGCAGTTCTTTTTCTGCAATTAAGAACGTAACTAATACCCTTCAAATGAAGGCTTTCTGTCCCAACTTTTCCAACCAGTCAATCATATCTACCTCATTCTACTGGAGAACATTGGCTCAGCTGTGACCAGTAAACAATACGGTAGTCCAGTATGTTCTCTCAATTCCAATCAAGACAGGGCATGGTTAGCATTCCCCCTTTTTGTTCTGGGCCACCCAATGCCCCTGAGGAAGAGTGCCTCCGTCTGCCGCAGGGCCACCTGCTGGGTTGAGTGGGTATAGATGGTGCCTATAGCTAGTTCTTCTGCCTAAGGTCATATTTCTTTTGTCAACTACAAATTGCTCACTCACCAAGCTGCCAATTAAAACTTAGGCCAGTACCATGTCTTACTTAGTTTAAGAATAACTGAACCCCAGGGCGCCCTGTGTTAAGCATCCAACTTTGGCTCAGGTCATGATTTCAGTTTGTGAGTTCCAGTCCTGCATCAGGCTCTGTGCTGACAGCTCAGAGCCTGGAGCCTGCTTTGGATTCTGGGTCTCTCTCTCTCTGCCTCTCCTCCGTTCCTGCTTACTCGCTCGCTCGCTCTCGCTTGCTCTCTCTCTCAAAACCCCTTAAATTCAATTTAACAGGTATTTTCCTGAGATCTTAAACTAGAAGTTAAGAATGGTCACAGCTACAGCAAGAACATTAATTTGACCAAGAAGGCTGGAATGAACCAGAAATTATAAAAACAAGAACTACATGCATATCTGTTAGCCAGACTTCCTCATATACCAACGAGGACCAAAAAGACTCAAAGAAACAGTGTGCTTCACACCAGAGAACACTAGCGCCTGGTCAAGAAACGGGCCCATAGACCCAAAGACAGAATCTCAAATCAAACTATTTTTGGTTCCTGTGGTGATGTGGGCAGAAGCACTGGTTTTCCATGTAGTCTAGTCCACTCTGTCCCAGAGGCCTAATTACTCCAGGTTCTCTGAATACACTGGAACAACTTACAAGGTTTGTAGTCCTTCTCATGACAAGGGGGGCAGTCCAGAGGCTTGCCATGCATGATGGGGTCTCCTCATCATTCTAAAGAAAGAGAAACACAAAGATTCAGTAGAGACTAACAGTTTGAAGGTTTCAGGTGTGACTCCACCTGAGGAATATCAGACTTGCCACAGGAAGCATCTAATGTGCCCTCCTCTTTCCCACTCCCCAGTATGTTAAGGCCAGAAGAGAAGCACAATTCACAATTCAGACATCTGAATGTAGCTAAAGGCATCCCGCTACCCCAAGGGTACTGAGGAGGTAGACTTGGTCTCTCCGGCTCGTTCTACACTGTTCTTGTTCCATGTTTTTTGCACAAAAGACAGTCAGCTCCTTCAGGGTAAGAAGGAACCTCTCAGTGTCTTCTTTTGAAAAACGCTGCCCGCCCCCCTCAGATTTAATCAGATTAGAAGCAGAGTCTCAATAAATTCCCACCAAATGAACAAAAAGATCAGACAACTCAAGCCCTGGGGAATTGTTTTTCACATGACTTTTCCAGAGTACTTAGGGGAATGGGTAGAAACACACACACACAGTACCTTCAGGTTCTCTCCATCAAGAAGGTCCATGAAGCCATCATCCTCATCAGACAAAGTGGCAGTGACAGGGGACTGGGGCATAAAAAGAGGAATGAAATTCCCTGGCTCGCTGCAGTCTCTTTCATTCGAGGAAAGCTGGAAGAGAGAGTTCACAGCTTGTTAATAATCAGACTTGATTTCCTTGGTTGGGTCACTAGATTTTGTGAGGAAAACATACTATATTTATTAGAAGTAACATTTTGGCAGCTAAGCAAAGGATAATGCGTCCTAAGATGAGAAATGATTTGATGTCCACACATAGCCCTGAGTAGAATTGGGCCTAGAAGCCTTCGCAAAAGAGTCTTCCCAGAAGCAAGTCACCTTACAGTGGGATGTGGGGATGGCCTCTTTTATGAAGGGCCGAGGTTTGTTTTATCAGAGGACTGTAATCGGTAAACACTGATCAATATGCAGGTTGTGATACAGTAATGTCGTCTGATCCTAGTTCCTTAGACTTGGAATTTAAATGACAGGTGCTCAGTTTTTAACTGAGGAATTACTGTGTGCCAGACACTATGATACAATCTCAAGTGTTTACTCCCACTGAAGCCTCACAACACATTAAGGTGAGTTAATCCTTTTCTACTTATTTATCAAATCAGGAAATCAATGCTTAAGAGAGGCTACCAAGATCACACAGCTCACCTGTTTGACTCCAAAGCCCAAGCTTTTCTCCCCACTACATGCTCTCTGAGGAGAACCATTCCTGGAGTAAAAATGGGGATATCTCACTAGGCAAACCTGTTGCTTTTGGGAAACCCCCATCATAAATCTAATATATGTTTAATATAGTGAATAATTTCTTTTCCAGGTGCTTCCCAAAGTCAGGAAAAATGTTCAGAGATATCTTTTCTTCCCCACAGTAACAAGGCAGTCTCAACTTAAGTCCTACATATAATCCTTCAGCAGACCCATCCCTTTAAAGAGGACTGCATTAATCCTCAAGTGGCCTTTTGGTTTTTGGAGCCAGTCCAGTCATTCACCTAGGGAGAAATCCTCTCTGCACCTGGCCAACTTTGCTTCAGGAACCAGCTTGCTTCACAAAAGTTCTAGGCTGCCTCTGATCCTCCACAAGTGCTCCTGAGCACGCCCCGGGCACACCGGCAAGTTCTCAGCCACTAGAACCAAGAGGCCGGTAACCTTATTGTGGGGCAACACACTGAAGGCTCATACTAGAATACCAATATTTGTGACCTAGGTTCTGGGACACATCTAGTGAAGATGAGATGTTATAAATGATGGACAAGTCACTTATAATTAAGGATGGCCAGGGGACCACAATAAACCCTGACGATATGGTCTTGAAGGGCACCCTATTTAGTTTTGGATACCCTGAACTTAAAGGGTTACTGTGTACTTGGGAATCAGGAGATTCTGTTAAATCCTGGTCTTCTATTTATGAGTCTCCTTTGGCAACCTCCCTGACCAGACTTTCCCAATATGTAAAATGGGCTAACTTCAGCCACTTCACATGCTTATGAAGATTGAGACAAAAACATATGCAAAAGTGCTCTGTGCAAACGCTAGACAGAACAGCATTACTGGCTGAACCTGAACTTCAGACCAAAACCAGACTGGAAAGCTATATGCAAGTTCCCAGGAAAACCTGGAAACAAAATGTGGTCATTTTGTTCACATTTTCTCTCTAGTCTAAAGCTGTCAGATTGCCAGTAGGAAACTGTGGAAGTAGTGACAGCCTCTGGCAAATAAATAACCCTGGGGCAAGTGGCCCCAAATACTATCAAGTAGCGTATAGGCAGTGGGTTCATTGAAATCCATAATAGTTCCTTTCATTTGAGAGAGAGAGAGAGAGAGAGAGAGCGCGCGCGAGTGAGAGAGCGAGAGAGCGCGCAAGCAGGGGAAAGGAACAAAGGGAGAGAGAATCCCAAGCAGGCTCCACGCTCAGAGCAGAGCCCAACATGGGACTCAATCCCAGATTCCTGGGATCAGGACCTTAGCAAAAATCAAGAGTTGAACACTCAACCAACTAAGCCACCCAGGAGTCCCCATAATAGTTCTTAATAAACCACCTTTGGAAGAAACCAAGTGCTGTCTCCAAACAAAACCACCCTGGAGGCACTGTGAAAGAACAAGTATTAATACACATAATCCCACCGTGTACACACTTAGAAGAATGACCTAGGATATCTGCAGATTATTCCCCCCAGAACTGACAAGGTCAAATATTCCTTGTTCAAGTTCAGTATTTCAAACATACTATCTTTCACTCTGCTTCTGCCTGTCTGCTATCCAGACAGCAAAAACACCAAAGATGTGACAGTCTAGTGTCAAATGACAAAGTCAAGGTAAAGACAAGAGCTATAGTGTCTTTAAGTCGAGGTTAAAGAGGGTGCTTTAATTCTTTCCCACCAGGAACTCCCCTGTGAAAGCCAGAGCACATACCATCTGAGCTGGGGCAGAGTTCTGCCTCTGTGTGAAGATATCTTTACCCTCCTCAAGTCCATGAGAGTGCAGGCAGCCACGAGATGCCGGTCTTATTGGCTTCTTAAACTCAAAGGCTTCCTGCAAGACAGCAGAGTCGACAGGTCTTCCCCTGTCCATGAAAGCCAGGGTCTTAGCTGTAGCTCGGGTGAGACAGTCAAGGGAGTAGGCACTGCTCACCTCTGTAACTGCCTCCAAACTAAGCATTTACCCATTTCTGAGCTAACTCCAACACTTAATCTGTGTCACTAAGAATTTCAGACTGTCAACAGCTAACTTCTAAGGCAGCATTTTTTATCTCACCACAGACACATCTGCCAAGTATACAAAACACGGAGTTAATAAGCCAAATTGAATCAACAACTTTCTAAAATCTAAAGCAAAGTGTTTCAATATAATCGCCTGTGAATGGGTGTCAAAACCTTTTACTCTTGGTGCACTTGGGTGGCTCAGTTGGTTAAGTGCCCGACTTCAGCTTAGGTCATGATCTCGCAGTTCGTGAGTTTGAGCCCCACATTGGGCTCTGTGCTGCCAGCACAGAGCCTGCTTCACGTCCTCTGTCTCCACATCTTTCTGCACCTCCTCCGCTCGTGTGCAAGTGCTCTCCCTCTCAAAAATAAACATTAAAAAAATTAAAAAATAAAAATGCTTAAAAAAAACCTTTTTACTCTAGATTTGGAGGCTTTGTGTTTTCCACCGTCTTCCTACCAACAGATAATTCTTTCCTTTCTACTTATAATTATTGTATTTCATACTAAGAGCAATGGAAAATAAAAATACTGTTTTAGTCAACAACATAAATGAATCTCACATGTTGAGTGAAAGCCAGAAGTGACAGAATACATTCTGTATGATTCCATTTACTTCAATTTTAAAAGCACTTATAATCCCTCTACCTAAAACAGCCACTTAACTTATTAAGTGCTCAGAGCAGTTAACAGCTAATATCAGAGTATTTACACACCAACAAACCACTAAGTACTTTCTATGCATTAACTCACATAACCAGCAACTGCAACCCAATCACCCCCATCTTACAGATGAGGAAACTAGACCTTACAGGTTAAATGAGGGGCCTAAGATCACGAGAGCTCTTTAACTACAACCTATGCATGCTGTTTCCTCTCCAGAACAAAGTTCCAAGCAGGCAAACCCAAGAAAAGCCAAGTTTAAAGAAAACCAGGCATTAGTACAGCTTCAGTGTGTTCAGTAGAAAGCACCATTAGCCTTTTTCTGAGCTTATTAACTCATCCCAGAGTGAGCACAAAGAGGCAAGGCCTGGGCAGACCCTTCTAGATAAACTATTCATGGATACAATTAGCCCTAAGCGCTGCCATCTGAGCAACCCCTCCCTGCCAGGAACCATTTTAAATGCTTTATATACATTATCTTATTTAATTCCCATAATATCTGACAAGTTACTATTATTTATCTGTATACAAAGATGACGAAGAAGCCTAAAAAGAAGTAATGGATCAAGGTCACATAGCTAGTAAGAAGGATTCAAATCCAGGCTTCTCTGACTACAAAGATGATAAATGACTTTGGTGAAGGTCTAGTCTCAGAAAGCAGCCCAACCACTTACTTCTCTTCTCTGTAAGCCACTGACACAGTGGCTTTACCTCTAGCCTTGGTTCATACACTGATGCCACTCACGTTTTCCTTGTTCTCATCCTGGTCCATCAGCTGAAAGGCATCATGGTCAAGAGAATCAGAATGGCTCCTCTTCAGGGCTGGGCTACATCCCAAGAGCTTCTGCTGTCAAAATGAAAAAAAGACATTAGGGCACATAAATGAAAATTCAATGGAAATTCAGTTTCAAAAGAAAAAATAATGATGGTAGAGGGGCTAAATCCTCACGCGCTGCGGGAGGTAACCAAGAAATGTGTTCAGGGTTCCACCTTGCAGTAACATAGGATAGACGATTCCACTACGTGGCTTTACACCTAATCTCACAAGGTAGGTCTACACCCCTTTTAGTAGGGATTTAGGTGCCAAATCAACCCCAAAATACCATTTGCATAAAAAGGATACTTCCTGGTATTCTTTTTGTAAAACTGATAGAAATGAAGGAAAAAGCCCTCAAGAGGCAGCCATTATTGAGGCTGTTCAGGCAGGGTGTTTTGGGTGCTTATGAGATGAAGGAAGAACAACCTTTGCTGTCTAAATTAAGATCATGCTAACAGCTAAGGAGACAGATTAATGTAAATTAGCTCAAAATAAAAAAGGGAACTAACTTACAGGTAGGGAATTTATTCTCCTCATGGGATTTTCAAGGCTGCAATGAGATCAGAAGGTAAACAATGAGAATAAAACAAGAGAGGTATTCATATGAGCAGCTATAGTGTCTATCCTATGGTTTGGGGAGGGGGCAGGCAATCAAACATTCCCATTTTAGGCAAGATGGAAGAACAGATATTTGAAGCTGTCCCGTTCTCACAAGCACCCCCAACATTGGGCTTCTAGGTGAAAAGAACAAGCCCAGGTCTTCTCTTAAAATACACATGTTGTTTCAAGCTATGATGTCAGAGGGTGAAATAAGGGTTTGGGGGAGACTTAAACACCAAAAATTACAGCTAAAATAAAGGAAGGGAAGTTTTAAAAACTGCTGGCACAAACTATTCATTCTCTAAAGGCACCAGACTTATTTCTAGGATGCAGAAGTCTTGCTAGGGTCAGTTAAATCCAGGGCTCCCATCCAGAACACAGCAAATTTCTTTAAAAAATTAAGTCTTTCCTAAGCAAAAGCTTTTAAAAGCAGTGAATACATACTTTTCTTTACTGTCCAAGGGCCCAGGAGAATCCAGACAGAAGCCTGTGGAAAATAATAAAACCTCTCAGGCAATAATATACAAAACACCATTTTGTCATTAAATAAAAATACTACGAGTACTGTTTCTTTAAGCTCTCAACCAAGCCTAAGTAAGGGCCTGGACTTTTGTCAGAATTAAAGTGGCGTCTCTATTTGATTGTCAAAACTTTCTATTTGCCCCAAGTCTTAACATCTTCACTGGATATCTACCAATCTCCTTTTCCTACCTGCAAATATCAGCAAGGGAGTAGGTGGGGAGAATTAAATACAATCTTCTAACGTTTGGTTGGTTGTCCAAATAGATTACCCAAGTAACTTTGTTTCATCCATGGAAAAAACAGATACCAGTTTTCTGGAGGTTTTGACTTCAAATATTTTATTTTGTCAGATCATAAATTTAATTTGGGGGTTTGGAAAAATACACTTATCAGACATATGACAAACAAGGCAAGTATTCATTACCTTTAACAAAATTATACCAAGTAATGTGCCCATCTCATCAAAGGAAGCAAGGAGGAGACGATGCTCTCAGTACTGCCCAAATCCACGAGCACCTGCCTCTCATGATAGCCATATAACTTTGCAGGAAATCAAGTGTTAGTTCTGATATTCTCACTTGCCACACTGCCACAAGTAAGAGTCCTATCCTTAGTTCCTGGGGCGCCTGGGTGGCTCAGTCTGACTCTTGGTTTTAGCTCAGATCATGATCTCACTGTTTGTGAGCTCAGGCCCCATATCTGGCTCCAGGCTGACAGGGTAGAGCCGCCTTGGAATTTTCTCTCTGCCTCTCCCTGGCTCCTTTTGTCTGTCTCTCTCTCTCTCAAGATAAACTTAAAAACCTAAAAAAAAAAAAAAAGAAAAGAAAAGAAAAGAAAAAAAAGAAAAGAAGAAGAATCCTCTCCCTAGTTCCTAAGAAGCCTACATTTTAAGAACTCTGCTCTTGTGGATCTATAGCCTAAAGCATCCATGCAACTATAAACCCTGCAGTAACATCAATCTGCGAATTAGAATAAAATGCACTGGCACATTTCCTCCATAGCAAGCTCACTGAAACAATTTCATTATACTTCCAATAACTTCCAATAATTTGACCCTGCATTTTAACCAATACAATTTTCTGAGCTTGGTGTTATGGTTCATTTTACGCAACTACTTTACTTACGTGTTCTCAAGATCAAGCACACACCACCTCCTTGCAGACACTTGTTTCCTCCCTTCATAAACTACCACAGGGCCTTCTTTCTCCTGTTTTAAGAGTGTTTGTCACTGAAGGCCATGACTTTTGTTTGCTGTCTGAACTAGTTGCCAATCTAAGTTCCTCCGTGAAGCGCACATTTCAACAAATTCAAAGTATTGATCCCCACGTGATAAATGTTGAAGGCTAAAGGAATACCTGAATCAGTTGACTCAGAGGAGCCCATTCTCTGCAGACTGCTGTTTCTCACCTCCAGTGGCTGTTCATATTCACTGAAAGCAAGAGAAATAACTATTTCTAAAACATAATTACAAGGTTACATACAAGAGACAGGCCATGAGGTTATAGCAAGTAACCAGGCTAATAATCATCTCATTCTAGGCCACACCAGACCCCCACTCTGCCACCCAAAACACCCAGTTAGCACTGGAGAATATAAAAGATAAGAAAAGGGTGGGTAGGCATGGCCTGGGTCACATTGTAGACAAGAGGACTATGATGTTGAATACTTCCTGAAGTGAGAGCATGCGATCTAGGTACTCTAGGTACGGTGCTGGGATGAAAGATAAAATGGACAGAAAGTTCCTGCTGTTCAGAGGTTGGAAAACGTGTAAGACATGTGCTTACAGAGAAGATGGGATGTCCGAAATTGAAGGGAAAGCAGCTCCACCAGAAACATCGTGGGATGCACGTTTTGCTACAATGAAAAGTCCAGGGAGCTTTTGAGGAGGGAAACATGAGTAAAAAGGCCTGGCTTTAGGAACGCACGGGACGACATCAGGAATGTGCATGGGGTGAGGAATTGGGAGATTTTGCACATAGGCCAAGAAAGAAAACGCCAGGGCTCTCTGAAGAGAAGGAACAAAGCTCACAAGGAAGCCAAGATCCTGCGAGGTGGTTCCGCAAAGGGTGGAAGTGAGCGCCTGAAAGGGTCTGCTTTGCCCCCGTGGGGATAGATTTCAAAGAGTTTCCTGAGATTGGGACAGAAGAGTACAAGGCAACCCGAAAGGGGGGGCCAAGCTGGGGAACCCAGGCCGACCCCACCCCCTACCGGGCCCGGCTCGGGGCTAAGGGTGGCCCTGGAGGGTCCGAACGGCCTCTCCCGCCCAACATTCCGCCTTGGGGGAGGGTGCGCATGGCGGGCCCCAGCGCAGCGGGGCCCGCCCACGAGCGGCGGACAGGTATCGCCCCTCTCCCGGCCCGTTTCCCGGCCTGATCACCCCTCCCGCCCCGAGAGCCGCCTGGGAGCCCAGCGGCCTGTGGCGGAGCTCGCCAGTGCCTTCTCACCTGCCCAGCCCCTGCAGCTGGTCCATGGTGACCGTCAGGTTGGTGACAGGCGACAGGCCTCCAGCGGCTGGCGCGCCGAACAGCGCTTTCACAACTGGCTGCGGCGTGGGAGGGGGACTGCAGGCGAAGAGCAAGCGGCGGCGGTGCGGGGGCTCCGGGCCCAGTTCCATGGCGGCGCCGGGGCTCCCACTGCTCCCGCTCCCTCTTCCTCCGCCTCCGCCTCCGCCGCGCCCGCCCCGCCCCGCCTGCACCGGCTTCGGCCGCGCGGCCAGCCGCGGGCGCCCGCGGGTCAAACACAAACACGACCCCGCGGTTCAGGGACGCGACTGCCGTGGGTAAGCGGCGCGGACGGGCGGGTGTCTGGACCCGGCAGGCGCCAGTCACATGCACGGGTGCTCCCCCCGCACCTCCGCGAGGCCGGCAGGCGGGCGGGCGCCGGCAACCTGAAGATTAAATCCAAACAAACGCGACGGGTCGGGAAAGGAAAGCGGCCAGAGCCGCGAGGCAACGGCCAGGGCTCACACTCTCTTCGCTTTCTTCTCAGCCCCTACTCCAAACCGGGGTCACAGAGTACCAAGCGGACCTTCACCTCCCTTCCGACTGTCGCTGCCAGGAAGGCCTTTCGCGGTAATAGCGGCTCACTAGGGACGGCCGCTGCCCCGCCCCCCTTTCCTAGTTGGCGCCAAACGGAATCCACCAATCAGTAAGCAACTTCTCCTCCTCGTTCCCGAATGGCAGCTATGGTGGACCAATGAGAGGGAAAGAAGGAAGCAGCACGCGGGGCTCTGGGGAGTCACCCACTCTCCTAAAGAGGCGGGGCCTAGAGGAGACCAGAGCCGATCCAATTGAGAGGGGGGCTCAGAGGTCAATGAAAACTCCCAGAGGAACCTGCGAGGCGCGGAAAGCGCCGAGAGGCCCCTCTTGCCCCGTTGCATGCTGGGAAGCGTAGTCCCACTCGGGTGTGCGGTCCGGGCACCTGCTACCTGCTTTGGCCGCAGGCCCGGTAGCTCCAGCAGGGTAGCGTCTGCCCCGCACTCCACACCTGGAGGGGACGCGCAGGCTGGATAGAGCCGACCTGGACACTGGAGGCCCGGCTGCGCCTATAACGACGGTACTGTGGGCTCCTCTCTTCACCCCCCGCCCCCGGCCTCCAGACCCCAGTTTTGTAACGAGGGCAGAACTGAATGTTCCAAGACCGGACTCTGCCTCTCGAACTCCAGGTCCAGACAACGAAGCGCTAACGCTCCAGTGCAGCGGGTTGTCACAGCCCCTGCGCTCAGTGCTGGCCATAAACTGACCACACAGACTTGAACCCTACAGTACAGACTGTGAGATTCAACATGCTTTGCTCACCTGCATTTTCAGCTTGTACTGTATTTTTTCAGAATCAATTCCTCTTTTCTACCCTTTCTTAGCCTATTGGGAGCTCCTAGATAGCAATGCCATAAATATAATAATAGCTAACACTTATATAGGGCTTAGGTGCCAGACACTGTCCTAAGAGTTTTATCTGTTTAAATTCATTTAATCCTTTCAACTCTGAGGGAGGAGTTGTCCCCATTTTATCGATGACCATATTTATTTGTATATCCCTTGCATCAGTGGCAGGTCCTAGAATGAATGATTTTATAAGAGAGGCATAGGTACAATGATTAGACTGCAAAGAGGACTTGTTTGTAGACAGCCTGTTTAGAGACAACATTCTGCTTATTTAGACTGTATATTTTAGGTGTCTGGCATAGATTATGACCATTACCTTCGCTTAGGGCCAACCATTAAATTCCTTAAGTGAAGTGGATTTTTTTTTCTTTTTTAAAAGTTTATTTTGAGAGAGCCCTCCAGAGTGTGAGCAGGGGAGGGGCAGAGAGAGAGAATCTCAGGTTGTCAGCACTGTCAGTGTTGTCAGCACAGAGTTGGACTTACAAGGGGCTCCAACTCTTGAAACTGCAACATCATGACCTGAGCCAAAATCAAGAGTCAGATGCTCAACCCACTGAGCCACACAGGTGTCCCTAAATTATTTCTTTAAAAAGCTTTTGCTTTCAAAGATTTGCACTATACAAATAATACAAAATAACAATAGCCATAGAAAATACAGATAGCACAATTTTTTAAATCATGTGTAATTTTACCATCATCAAAGACACAACTGTCAACATTTTAAGTTTTTTGCATCATTGTGCATTGTAAATATACAATCCATGTTTGTTTCAGAGACGAAGGAATTCCCTACTTGTCTGAGCAGACATTGCCTGATGGGATCAGCCCAAGTGGATTAACATCCTGAAATATTTCCACCAACAAGTTCAAGTACTGGAATAAAAACTTGATGTCGGAAATGTAAAACTGAAGCAAAAGGAAACGCATAATTTCACCAAACTCTTTCCCCCATTCACTTCGACATGTTCTCCAAAATCCAGGAAGAGCAGTAGAATCCTGCACTGAATTGACAGATCTGAGTTCTCATATGATTCTGCTTTGAGGCAAGTCACTTTTTGCATATTCATTCAGTTTCTACTAAGAGCCTACCAAACAGATCCAAACAGGGTCAGTGTTTCTCTGGACATTTGCCTGAAGTGTCCTTCTCACCTCGATAGTCCCTTCAGTCAGCAAATATCCACCCTTAACAGGAAAGCTCTACCCTCAGACTTCCGGATCTATTCCCCTGTTATCATCCATCATCCAGGCACCATATGTTCACATTTGTTTCTGTGATTATGTAATCAGGGTGTGTCTTAAAAGGGTAGGAACTTTGCCTTCTTTCCCCCTTCTTATAGTACCAGCCAGTGCCTGGCTCAGGGGACTCCTCAGTACATGTTACAAAGAAAAAGTGGGATGTCTTGGTGGTGGGGGGGGGGGATAGATTAGAAAAGGCATGAATGTTTTGAGTATTTAAGAAAAGAATCTTATCTGATCTGATATGTCGTTGCTGAGGAAATATCCAGAAGGATAAGCCCTTAGGTGGAAGAGAATGTTCTGAGGCAGGAAGGAGTGCCCCGTGTGTAGCAGAGAACAATGGGAGAAGAGGAGGCTGGGGAAGGCCCAGACTCTGCAAGGGCTTGCAGACCACATTCTAGAACTTGGACTTTATCTTAACGGCTAAGGGGTTTACATTTACATTTTAAGAAGATAACCCTGGCTGCAGAGTGGGGAATTGATTTCAGAGCAGCATCGGTTGAGCTGGGGAGACCAGTTGGAAGACCAGCTGTGAGATGGTGGCAACTAGGGAGGAGGTGATGCAGAGGGGGAGAAGTAGGCCACAGTTTCTCTTAAACAGTGAAGTGCCCCAGCAGGGTTCCTGCCTCCTCCCTGCCACTCCTTGGCAACCACAGAAACTTGGCTTTTATTTATTTATTTTTAAGTGTGTATTTATTTACTTTGGAGACAGAGAGAAGGAGAGAATCCTAAGCAGGCTGTGTGCTGTCAGCTCAAAGCCTAACTTGGGGCTCCAACTCACAAACTGTGAGATGATGACGTGACCCAAAACCAAGAGTGCGCTGCTTAACGTCGTGAGCCACCCAAGCACCCCCAGAAACTTGGCTTTTAAATCTGCATTAGGTATTGCAGTGCCCTATCCATTTTTTTGGAGAAGGGATTTCCTTTGTTAAAAACAAACAGGAAATCCAAGTAATTTCCCATCAATTTATCAGACTTCATTTCTGTGGAAAAAGAAACATTCCTTTTCTGATTTAATGTTTTACATGTGCCCATTCCTCCTTTCGCCCAATTGTACTGGTAGCAGGTTTGGGTTTATTCAGCAGGAGCCTCCCAGAGGGCTAGACAGATTCAGTTTAAACTAAGGCGGGGGATCAGAACTAACAGAGCTTTCCCAAGTGACATGAGCTGTTTAGGAGGCTGTAGAACCGGTGTCTTAGATGCTGTCAGGTAAGGAGGGGTACCTACAATCAGAGGCTCCCAAATTCTGGTTCTACATCACAATCATCTGAGGACTTGTTTATTGAGTAGATAATCCATTTATATGGTCCAAATTCAAATGGTACCTGAAAAGGCCTAGAATAAATCTTCTCATCCCTGCCCCAGCTACCCTGTTTTCTTTCCTGTTGGTCACCACTGTGGCCACTTTTGTTTGTTGTTGTTGTTTGTATCTCCTGGAGCCTGTCTGTGCTAACAAGTATATAGTCTCCACAATACACTTTTTTAAAAAAATGTTTATTTATTTTTGAGAGAGAGAAAAAAAAAAACATGCACAGGGGAGGGGCAGAGAGCAAGGGAGACAGAATCCAAAGCAGGCTTCTCACAGCCAGCACAGAGCTGGATGTGGGGCTCAAACTCACAAATTGCAAAACCATGACTTGAGCTGAAGTCCGATGCTCAACTGACTGAGCCACGCAGGAGCCCCTCCCATATATACTTTTGATGTTTCACCCACAGCAATACGTTATAAACACTGTACTGAGCTTTGCTTTTTTCACTTCATATTATCTTGGAGTTGGTTCAGCATTACAGAGACAGTTCCTTGGTTTGTTTGTTTTTTTAATGTCCACCAATTGGGGAGCTTTTTTGAAAATACAGTTCCTCTGGTCTCAGATATTTTGATTTTGCAGTTTCAGTGTGGGGCCCTGCCTGGAATCTGTGCACTCAGAAAGCTCCCTGAATTGTTCTGATACACAGCCAGGTTGGGGAACCACTGAGCTCTATGGATTCTTAAGGACATCGAGGACCAGAGGTGACACACATTATTTTAATACATAATTTGTATTTGTTCTGTATTGTGCTGGGTAACAAGTTTTGCAGGATGATATTCTGAGCACAAGCCATGTCTTGTCTCATGGCTAAATGTTTGCTCCAAAATGACAGATGTTTCTAGCAGGAACTTCTCCATTTTTTCATGGCTGCTTCTTGAATGGTTTCACCCACTTCCACTGCTTCTTCAGTTTTATTCCCAAAGTCTTGCCTCCAGTAGGGATCTCTCTCTTGAATTCTAGCCCCTCATCTGAATCCGCCTAGAATGGCTCACTGGCAACTCAACTCTACTCCCCTCAAGTTCACATTATATCCCTTTCCTTTTAAACTTGGTATCCTCCCCAGTGCCCGTGGTTGGAAATGATATCATCATCTACTAGTTCCTTCCCACTTTCACCCTGGTGTAGCTGGACTCCCAAGGCCTGGCCCCACGTGATCTTTCTAAATGCAAATCTAATCTCTTCCTCCCACCGTTTGCTCAAAGCCCTTCCTGTACCCCCCACATTGCTTAAAACAGGGGCTTCCATACATTTTAGACCTGTGACCCAGAACACACATTTCAAAGAGTTTCCATTGCATCATTTATTCATATTACATGCAATACAGCTGTTTCCTATTTTATTTTATGTCACTTAAAAAAATCCTGGTTATGAGGATTAATGTCAAAATTGATGTTATGATGGCCTGCAGCCTATAGTTTGAAAAGCAACCGGTGACAGGCTGAAGCCCCAAACCTGGGGCCCAGGACACCAGATCCTTTACTGTGAGGCACCTCTCCTGCTCCATGTCCTTTTTCCCTCACCAGCACCCCAGCACCAGCCAGATGCTATTTAGGCATCTCTGCTGTTGCAGTTCCCACGGTCCATGGTGCCCTCTCCTGCTCAGCAGCACTATTTCAAATATTTTCTTCCCTTAAATCTGAAAATTTTCTCCCCTCTGCTTCTGTCCAGGGAGCTTAATACTTGGTTCAACACCCCTATTCTTGTATTCATG